ACCGAAAGAACAAATAAAACTTTAAATGAGTAAGAAAAAAGTATGATATTGCATTCGGTTTGGCCAAAGCATTATAGGTCGATGCGATGAATATAACAACTTACCTTATAAATAGAGAATTTTCAATTCCATTAGGCTTCAAATTACTTGAGCATGTATGATAACAAAAAGAGATAAATTTCACACACTTGAGAACTTTTAGTTGTATTTTATATGTAAGTGTAAGATGTGATGATAAAGATAAACTTAATCCTAAGGCTAGAAAATATTACTTTATTGGTTAGGAATATAATGATTTTGGTTATCAGTTTTAGGATGATAATAATATGAAGATCATAAAGCTTAAGGATGTAACTTCTAATGAGAATATATTATCTAAGGATATGCTTCGGACAAATTCTAACCGTGGAGGAAACTAGTCGAAAACAAGTGAAAAGGCTAGTTTAGAGAAGATTTTAGAGAATGATATATCCGAGATTGAGAATTGAGATGACAAAGATGGGAAAGTTGAAGCTAAACCAGAACCAATAACTCCTACTCCTCAACTAAAGAGATCTAATAGAGCGTTTAGGCCCATTCAAATGTATTCATCTTTCTTGAACTATTTACTTCTTGCTAATATTAGAGAACCAAAATTCTTTAGTCAAGTAATACGGATGAAATATTCTATCAAGTGAGAGTTAAACATGAAAGAAAAGATGAGATCTCTTGAGAAAAATTAGACACGGACTTTAATTGTGTTACCAAAAGCAAAAAAAAAAAAAAAAAGAGCTATACACGATAAGTAGGTGTATGGAGTCAAAAAAAAAAAAAAAACATGATGGAAGTGAAAGATACAAGGCAAGGCTAATGGTAAAGGGCTTTCAAAGAATTAACTACTTTGGAGATTTTTTTTCATGTAGTTAAGATGACTACTACTAGGTCGGTGCTTAGTATTATCATCGTAGAAAATCTCCATCTAAATAATTAGATGTAAAAACTTCTTTCTTATAGAACGACCTAAAGGAAGACATCTACATAGTACAATTAGAAGGCTTTGAAGTTCCAAAGAAAGAGAAACTAGTGTGTAAGTTATAGAAAAATCTATATCATTTGAAACGAGCTCCTAGACAATAATATAAGAAATTTAATGGGTTCATATATGATAATGGTTTTAAGAGATGCGAGATAGATCACTATTGTTATATCAAGATATTTTATGACTCGTTATCTCATTTTGCTTTTATATGTTGATAATATGTTTGTTGTAATTGAAAAATATCATTAAGCTTAAGCAATAATTAACGGAATAGTTTGAGATGAAAGACTTGAGACTTACAAAGTAGATACTTAGGATGACCATTAGTAGAGATAAGTCGAAGGTAAATTTACAATATCTCAAGAAAAGTACATCAAAAAAATGTTAAGTAGATTCAACCTTTAGGATAGGAAGATCGAAACACTCTTTTGGAAAGCCACCTTAGGCTTTCAAATGAACAATCGCCAAAGACAATCGAAGAGCAAAAGGAAATGTCTACGATCCTTTATGCATCGACAATTAGAAACTTGATGTATGATATGGTTTATATAAGACTCGATTAGCTCACGTAGTGGTAGTTGTTAGAGCGTACATGACAAATTTAGGAAAGAAGCATTGAGAATGAGTAAAGTGGATTCTTCGTTATCTAAAAGAAACTTCATATATGATCCTTTCTTTTTTTAAAAAATAATATTGTTTTATAAGGATTTATTGATGTAGACTTAGATGGTGATCCGAATAATAGAAAAAGTATAATAGGTTATATTTTTACTTTGGATGGTACGGTTGTGAGTTGAGTGTCTCGACTTTAGAAGTATGTTGCTCTTTCTACCACTAAAGCTAAGTATATGGCTATTTTAGAAACTAATAAAGAGATGGTTTGGTTGAAGAACTTTCTAAAAAAAGTAAGGAAGACACATGATAAAAGTGAGTCTTTTAGCGACAATCGAATACAATTTACCCTACCAAGAATCCGATCTTTCATGCGAGAACCAAACATATTCAATTGAAGTATCACTATATTCGAAAATTGTTAGATGATAAGATAATATGTTTGAACAAGATTTTAGAATTAGAGAATCCAATTGATATGTTGACCAATGTAGTTACCAATGATAAGTTGAGGCTTTACATTGCCTCGATTGGCCTTCATGGTTAGTGATAAGAAGGCTCTACACTACAAGAACTTGAAGTTGGTTAAGAAAATGGACGGTTACAAGAGATTTGATGCTATTTGGAAATCGATCTTCAAATGGGAGATTATTAAATTATAAACACCGATGTGAATGTGATTTATAGTATAAGGCGCTACGTCTGAGGTAGAGCCCCTAAAAGGTCTCTAGAATATTAGGTCAAGTGTATAGGCTTGTTAGGTTTTTTTTCTTTTAACCCTAATTGTCCACACTATAAATAGATGCAACATCACTTGTATTTATAGCCACCACTTGATAAAACTTAATAAAAAATCCCAGTGCAACCATTAAGTAGACAAAATTGTCAAACCACATAAATCTTAAGGTCGTGTTATTGTTCTTTTCTTTCTATTTTATTCTTTTGCTTGATTTTGTTTCCTAACGAGAGAAGGGGTTAAGAGAGGAAGGCTACACCTAGCTAGGTGATCCGGATTGTCATCACTATTTACGTAATATATAGCCTCTTCATGTTCCTCATTTTCACTATTTTCAACATCCTCACTTATAGTTAATTGTTCTTTAAGATTGATTACCTCTTCAATTAAGTCTATTTTTTTGTCATTTTCAAACTCTTCTAGCTTATTATTTAGGAAGGAAAATAAAGTTTTACAAAAACAAGCGATGTTGCACTCTATACTCAAGCTATCAAAAGCGACGAATGATCGTCATGGCTTGAACGACTCGATTGAGACTCACTTCCTTCAAACCATTTTCATCACTGCCATTTAGATTGATCCATGATGGAATCATCAACAGCCCAAATGCACACCCAATTGCTCTTCAAATGATTGACTACGCTCTTTCTCTAACCAAATCCTAAAGATGAAGTTTTTTTTTCATATTTCTACATAATTTATTTCTCTCCTTTCATTTTTCTTTTAATTTTTGGATTGCTTATGCAGATGAATTGCATGCACAAACAATGTTGGTCTTAGAGGGGTGCGTCTTTTCTCAATCAAGTGAAAACCAATATGTTGTTACCCATAATTCAAAGGGATTGCTCCTAATTGCTATGTCTAGCTTATTATCGGCAAGGTTTTTCATTTGTCCCCTTTTTCTTTGGTTTATAATATTGATTTTCGTTGTTACCCAAACAATTATTTTTTTCCTGCTAATTTTTTTTTGTTTTCAATTTTTTTGGTTACATAGTAATTTTATTTGACATGACATTACATATGTAGTTTTTTTTTACCATATGTCATGTTTGTTCGAAAAAATAATAAAAAAACCATCAGAAAAACTACATTAAAAAAAATTAAGAAATGAAAAGATATGATAAATAAATAAAAAAAAGTAAAATGAACATATTAAAAAATATCAAAAATAGAATAACGTTCAATGCGATTAATTCCCCTTGAAACAATGGTTTTGGGTAAAGACTAAAGATTCATGCGTGGGAACAGGCTCAGCAGGCGTTTGATTTAGAGCATACCTACTACAGTACACTTTTCCTAAAGTCTTGAAGTCAATAACGGAAGGGCCAACCAACGTCATTATTTCCCTTTTAAAGTTGTTAATATCAAAGCTTATGGCTCAAAATGCCATCGGTCAAAAGTCTATCTTCCCATCCATCAAGATTTTTTTCCTAACCGAACGTTTGCTCCAAATTAACTACTTCGATCGGCTTTCCAATTTTTTTTTTATCTGTTCTTTCCTGCTTTATTTATAAAACTTGATTTTTTTCCCTTAAATTTCTTTGAGGCAACGTTGACCAGTTAGACTAAAAAGAAATATTATAAAAACTTATTAGTCCAGTTCAGAAATTTATTTTGTTCAGCGGCAATTGCATTTGCCGGATCAAAGGTCAAGTCAACTTTTTAGAAAACCTCAAATGCTTTGTTCAAAGGTTCGGCGCCCATCCTATCATGATTTTTTTCAAGGCTACGTTTGATTTAGTTAAACTTTCTTGCTCCAATATTTCTTGCTAAAAACAGTACCGTTGCCTGACGTTGGATATGACGAGAAGAATTAGAACGATTTGGAAATTATGTAAAAAAAAAAAAAAAAAAAAGGTGAAAAGGTTTCTTTTTTTATTGTTTTCTTTTAATAGTAAACATAAGGCGCGAGTTTGATCATCCGAAAAAAGTATGTTTTTGGTTTCAAGTGATTTCGGTATGCTCGTTTCAAACTCTAATGCTACATATATGTTTATTAGTGTTTATTTGTTATTGAGAGATATTGACTTTAAATATCTCATTTTTAGTGTAAAAAAAGAAAGTAATATCATCGAGGTGTTTCTCAAAAATTTCACATTTTAACTAGATGATCGATGCAGTGTCATACTTAGGTCTAGCAAATGCATCTTGCAAAAGGTCAAATTAAAGTAATCAGTTCATGAATCTAATTCGAGCTGCATCACAAAAAAAAAAAAAAAAAAAAAAAAAAAAAAAAAAAAGTCAGAAGTAAGAAGAAGAAGAAGAAGAAGACGAGGTAACCATGTATCTCTGCTACTGATCATTCTAGCAAATAAAAGTCTCCCGTAGTGATAACCCTCGCTCGTTGCATGTTCAAATTGCAGAGTCTAAGTCTTCCAAGTTCCACCTCCCCTACTTCATTCTATTCTTATCAGATAGTGTTCACATACCCTTTTTCTTCATTTATAAACATGCCTATAAATAGCATTGGACCTTTTATTTTCTTTAGACGAATTATTCTTCCTGTTCTTTTTCAAAATGCCTAGCCTTCTATAATTTAACAAAAAAGAAATCAAACATACTAGTCTTTTGTGCATAAAGGTCTGTAAAAGTAGTGAGTTGCGTTGGAAAAGAAAAATCTTTGGAACGCATTAAATGGCGGGGGCAGTAAAAGCTCGATCTCTGGAGGAAACTCCAACATGGGCGGTTGCAGTTGTTTGTTTTGTGCTGATTTTTATTTCAATCATCATTGAATACATCATTCACTTGATTGGAAGGGTAAAACTTGAAGCTTGCTAGCTAATAGCTATAAGTTAATTTCTTTGTTAACACTCTTTCTTCTTTGCATGCAGTGGTTGACAAGGAGACACAAGCGAGCTCTTTATGAAGCACTTGAAAAAGTTAAATCAGGTCTGAAATCTCGTAAATTAGGCATATATGCAGATCTATTATCTTTATGTTTTGGTTTGCATGGAACTGAATTAGCCTTTATGTATTTCTTTCTCAGAGCTTATGCTTTTGGGATTCATATCGTTGCTTCTAACAGTAGGACAAGGACCTATTTCAGACATATGCGTACCAAAGTCTGTAGGAGCTACTTGGCATCCATGTAAGAAGCAAGAGATTGAAGCAAAGAGCGAATCAGACGAGGAATACGAGGGATCTGACAAATGTGCTAAGAAGGCATGTGGCCTTGATTTTTTTTTTTTTTTTTAAGTAATTGTTTGTGATCATGCCCTTGGGGACTTCTCCTGGTTAATTTTGTGTTGCGGTAAGAATTTGTAAATGATTGCACCTTAAGTCAAGAGAACTTCATTAATTGTTCATGGAGAAAGTACCATCATCACACACGAGAAAAACAAGCAAAAGAACTAAATCTGGTGATAAATTTTAACAAAATAAGGTGTTTATGGCACCTCTTGATCTTGCAGGATAAAGTTGCTCTTGTTTCAGCTGATGGCATCACTCAACTACATATATTCATCTTTGTGCTAGCGGTTTTCCACGTGCTTTCTTGCATTCTCACTCTGGCTTTGAGCAGAGCAAAGGTATACGTGTACGTGTGTATTCAGTCTTCTTCTTCTTCTTCGATTTTTAGGGTAAAGATATTTAATGTTTTGAAGTAGTACTGTTGTTGCATTGCAGATGAGGAAATGGAAAAAATGGGAAATGGAAACAACAACATCTGATTACCAGTTATCACATGGTAGGTTTCCTTGTATCACACAACAAAATACATCCCAAAATGTCACTACTAGGCCCCCAAGAAATATCTGTTGCTGAAGATGAAGACTAAATTGTAAAATACCAACTAAACTTGAACCAAAAAAAAAAAAAAACCGATGATTTTATCTTAAAAATATTATGATTTTTTGAATGTGCTCTTTCTATTAAGGTTACGCTGAAAAACGACCATAGAATCCATAAAAATCTTTTCAATTCCTATCATTTTCCCTACCAATTTAAGAAAATATGTTTACTGACTGAAAAAAAAAAAAGGAATTGAGTAAAGGGATTTTCCATCAATTTTTCAGTTCAATCATTTTTACTGTCTTGTTTAATCAATTAATATTCCGCAGACCCAGAGAGATTTAGATTTGCAAGGGACACATCATTTGGAAGGAGACATTTGAACTCCTGGACTCGCTCGTCAATTCTCTTGTGGATAGTAAGTGAGAATTTACTATGTTTAATTTCTTTGTTTTCTACAATTTCACTTAGCAAGCTCTTCTTCTGCAATTTGAGAGCAATAATTACATAAGAGGTGGGAATCAAGACCTTTCAAGGGTATGCGAACATGGCTGTCAATTAAACTGCAATTTCATTAAAATTTAGTAAGCTAGGTAGATTAGACAGATAATAATCTTGACTACCTCTTATTCCAGCAGAGATGCAAATAATCAATTGCAGTCCATTTAAATAAGTTTCATCCTTTGTCCAGGTCTGTTTCTTCAGACAGTTTTTTAGATCAGTTCTAAAGGTGGATTACCTGACCCTACGCCATGGCTTTGTCATGGTAAGAAATTTTAACACCAAATGCCCATTATTGGAGAACTGATTCGATTGAATACTTAGGTACTATATATATGCTTAATACTCTATCTCGCAATTGCTTTCTAGGCACATTTGGCACCTCAGAGTCAAACTAAGTTCAACTTCCAGACATACATCAAAAGATCACTTGAGGAGGATTTCAAAGTTGTGGTTGGGATCAGGTAAGCTACCCGCTCAATTGATTATAGCACTCAAATACTGCACCTTTCCGGAAAATAGTAAGAACCACAAGAAAATTCAAGAAATTACAAACTTTATTCTTCTTGCTCGCAGCCCAACAATCTGGTTCTTTGGAGTTCTTTTCCTATTGTTTAATACACACGGTAAGCCGAAATCACTATTTGTTTGGTACATTATGCATTTGTGGAGTCACATACTTTAATAATGCACTCTATTCTAGCATCGAAGTCTGCCACTTTTGATGGTGTTTCTCTACCAGAAAATAAATTCCCTTCGCATATTTTCATTATCAGAACATGTAACAAGAAATGATAATGCAATAGATGCAACATTTTATTTCTTTTTCTGAGAATGATTAATGCAACGGTTTGTTATGGACAGGCTGGTATTCTTATCTATGGCTGCCTTTCATCCCGCTGATTGTAAGCAAAAAACTGTTTTAGTTAGTCTATGTATATTTACTAAATGGATCCCACAAAGCTAAAAGTGTGTCCGCTTGATGTGGATTCTGTATAGGTTATCTTGTTGGTGAGTACAAAGCTACAGGTTGTTATAACCCAGATGGGTCTAAGCATTCAAGAGAGAGGGCAGGTTGTGCAAGGTGCCCTAGTTGTCCAGCCACGGGATGACCTCTTTTGGTTTAACCGTCCTCGCCTGCTTCTTTATCTCATAAATTTCGTTCTCTTTCAGGTATCTCCATGTCCATTACAATTTACAGGGCTTCGTGATTATTAACCTTACATGACTATGAATATGATTTTTTAACTTCTTCATTGCCGTTTCTCCTTTTTGGCCTATGCAGAATGCATTTCAGTTTGCTTTCTTTGCATGGACTTGGGTAAGCCCCTCGAGTTATCACTATTCATTTTGCACGAATGGTTTCACCACTCATATAACTTTTGGCTTTTTCCTCTTCCATTGTGTAGTATGAATTCGGGCTGAAGTCTTGCTTCCATGAGTATCCAGAAGATTTAATTTTAAGGACTGTAATGGGGTGAGCTTTCCATCATCATCAATACAACTTTGAATCCACTTGTGAGAAACTATCTGGAATTTTACAAATAACACAAGCTTTTCCCATCCGAGGACAGGGTAGTAATTCAATTCCTCTGCAGCTATGTGACGCTTCCTTTGTATGCGCTGGTAACTCAGGTATGCCCAGCGTGCTGACCTTGAATTTTATGAGAATTTGTGCCTTTACCATCCTTAATCTCCTTGTTTTATCATACCATCTTCCTGTAGTTTCAGTATTACAAAATTACGATGTTATTATGTAATGCTCATGTTTTGTAATCAGATGGGTTCAACCATGAGGCCAACAATCTTCAACGAGCGACTTGCCAAGGGCCTAAGAAACTGGCACCACACCGCTAGAAAACACATTAAACAGAACCGACACTCAGGCACTGTAACACCAACAACGAGCGCACCAGGCACCCCGAGGCATGCCATGTCGCCCGTTCATCTATTGCGTAACAATAGAGGCGAGCCCGATGGCATACAAGCATCATCAAGAAAGTCCGATGCTGAAGATGGCGGTCGGAAGACAGACAGCTCAGGCTCTTACAAACACACAAAACACGGTGTAGAAGAAGAGGACAGATGCTCTTGAACTGACAACCACTCCCCCTCTAATTCAACAGGCCAACCATTTTCTGCACGACATTGACATGAAAGATTTCTCCTTTGATAAACAACCGAGAAAATGAAAAAAGTTGTATTTGGGAATTATCGTGGGGATTTAGTTATGTGATTGCCAATTTGCTCGATCAACTCTGTAGCAGGCAACTTTTTCTGTAATTTTCCAATGTGATTGTGAGCAATGGAATATATAAACCTGGCAGAGAAGATCAAACTTTGGCATCTTAGAAATCTTAAAGCAGAGCTAACAAACAGAACCAACAGGCAGATCTACGAATCTGAATTAAGCCGTAAACACTGGACTGGAACCTCCACACCCATGTCCTCTTGGCTATTACATACGCATTATAGTATGGCTCTTATAGCAAGCAATTGGTTGCTAGTTAATTGATGAATGGGCATCGTACGAACATGCATGGATGGCAACTTAAAATCCAGGACCCCTTTTACAGCCTATTCTGATCATATGGTAATATAAGTTAGCAGTATTAAAAGCTCTATGCTTCAAGGAATATGATCACAATAAAAGGAATTGAGATGTATAAAATCAACAAGATAACTAATAGAGTTTCGAACAAAATATTAAAAACTTTTATTGATAAAGAAACTCTAACATCCCCAATGAACATACAGGAGATAAAACTAACACAACCAACTTAAACTCGGAAATCCCCACCACGAAGACGGAGCACGAGATGAAGAGTAGACTCCTTCTGGATATTATAATCCGCAAGGGTCCTACCATCCTCTAACTGCTTCCCAGCAAAGATAAGCCTCTGCTGATCCGGTGGAATACCTTCCTTGTCCTGAATCTTGGCTTTAACATTGTCTATTGTATCAGAGCTCTCAACTTCAAGCGTAATTGTCTTTCCTGTTAGGGTCTTGACAAAGATTTGCATCCCTCCTCTCAAACGCAGTACCAGATGCAGAGTAGACTCCTTTTGAATATTATAATCAGCAAGAGTCCTCCCATCTTCCAGCTGCTTCCCTGCAAAGATGAGCCTCTGCTGATCCGGCGGGATCCCTTCCTTGTCCTGAATCTTGGACTTGACATTATCGATCGTATCAGAGCTTTCAACTTCAAGCGTTATTGTCTTTCCGGTAAGAGTCTTGACAAATATTTGCATGCCGCCACGAAGCCTGAGGACAAGGTGAAGAGTTGACTCCTTCTGGATATTATAATCCGCAAGGGTCCTACCATCCTCTAATTGCTTCCCAGCAAAAATTAGCCTCTGTTGATCTGGAGGGATGCCTTCTTTGTCTTGAATCTTGGCCTTGACGTTGTCAATAGTATCGGAACTCTCGACTTCAAGAGTTATGGTTTTGCCGGTTAGGGTTTTGACAAAGATTTGCATACCGCCGCGAAGCCTTAGGACAAGGTGGAGAGTGGATTCCTTTTGGATGTTGTAATCGGCAAGGGTACGGCCATCCTCAAGTTGTTTGCCAGCGAAAATTAGGCGTTGTTGATCAGGAGGTATACCTTCCTTGTCTTGGATTTTGGCTTTGACGTTGTCGATTGTATCGGAACTCTCGACTTCGAGAGTTATGGTTTTACCTGTCAGGGTTTTCACGAAGATCTGCATGTTTGCAGGGATTCAAGACAACAAAGAAGAAATCGAGATTTGAAGACTTCGAGAGAACTAGAGAAAAGCAGGTTTTAGATACAATGTGTCTGAATGTCGCTGATGAAAGATTAGGGCCACGAGGCTGTATTTTTATAAGAGGAGGTACGGCCGCCTCGATGGAATGGAGTAGAATTCTGAAGAAAGAGAAAACGACGGATCGGTCGTATGTTTCTACACCACGCCAGAACATGCTAGAGACCAAAAGAAAACCAAAGAAGAGAGAGGCTACTCCAATTTCGTAAATTCACTTTCCAGATTATTATTTTTCTTTTTTCGCCAAAAAATAAAAAACTATTAAAAGCGTTTGACTCTTTGTAACTAATTTTTAAAGGAATTGACTTACGTTTGTGAGTTGAGATAGATTTTCAAATATATATAATAAAGGTCTATTAATTTTTTTGTCCGTCGAGACTATGAGGTAGGATTGTTTTTCTATGGTAGATAGCCTCTCTCTTATTGTTTTTCCCTATTTTGGTAATGCTTTCTTTGTAATTATTTAGTTTTCTGATCTGTTTAATAGCATTAAATGTCTCCCTATTTTTTACATTTTTTTTTACTATAGCTTTTGTACTTTTCAATTTTTTAAATGTAGTCATTCTTATTGAAATCCGATCAATCTTTCGATCGATGATGACAAATAACACAAAATTATCACATGACAAGACACATCAAAAAAATTTACCACATGATCTAAAATAATTACATGCTAATATCCGAAAGAAAAAAAAAGTATAAAACCTAGTTTGTTTTTCTCTCTCCTGTCGCAATCAAGAGAGATTATTCCGGACGAAAAAACCCATAGTACTTCTTTCATCATTTGCCTTCGATTTTTTGTTCATCATCAATTCACAAGCAATCGAATCCAAAGAACTTTGGATCTCGTTTGTTATTCTAGCAAAATCGTTATTCGAGTAGCTCAAAACCCCAATTTTTGAAAATCCTCAATTTATCTTCTTCTTCTTTTTTCCCCTTTTTAACTTCATTCGTCTCTTTAATTTTTATCTTCATCTTCTTCAAATATATCTCGTTTATGGTTGACATCCTAAATTTTCTATAACAAAAAAATCCATAATTCTTGAGAACCAAAAAATCCCCAAATTGCTTTATTTATTTCGTGAAAACCTTAAAACTTCTAAATAATTTTTTTCATTTTGTTAAACCCTAAATTAGATGAGTGCACCATCTACATCGTCAATGTATAAAACAATTTATGATGTAATAAATTCGTAATCCTTTGCTCTGTCTAATGAAATTGAGGATGACATATTGCGATTGATTTATGTAGCTTCACCACAAACTATCGAATTCAATTACGAAAACCCTATAATGATATGTCATTATGGATTGAAGACTACGAGGTGGATGTCATGGAATGACAAGCATCTAGGTTCGAGGTTCCATCCATGTCCTATACGTTTTGCCCACACTGATAATAAAAATTTTGGTTATGGTTATTGGGCGTGGAAGGATGATTTCATAGAAGGTAAAGCTAAGATGATTGTTTTGGGAATGAGAAATAGACAAAGACAGATTTATAGAAAGATAAATTTATTTTTGAAACAAAACAATGAATTGATTGCGAAGGTTGAAAAGTTAAAGAATGAGTTAGATTCTCTTTTCATGGAAAAGGAAGTGTTGCTAATTGAGATAGCAACATAAGAGGCAAAGAAAGAACATATGATTTTGAAAATGAAAAAAGTAAGTGAATACAATGTCAAATTGTTGAATTTTTATAAAATAACGAGTGGTTTTAATTTTAATTCTGTTGGTTATTTGCAAATTATAATGAAGTAGGTTATTTGTGAATGGTATTGAAGTTGAAGTATATGAAATCACATTGGTTTACAATGGTTTCTTGGTTGCCATCCCTAATTTTGCGTATAGAGAAATTTGATATCCCAATATTGTTTTGTTACATCACTATGGTCAAGACTTTTGTTCTTCTTGAAAATCTGTTTGATACCATCCTTTAGGTCGCTTATAACTTCTTTAATGATAGATGATGTTTGCTCATAACCAAAATGCTTAATTTTCTATATGTTTTTTCTATAAAAACCATAAAAGGCTATAGTTCGATAGTATGCTTGAGGTGTATGCTCGGACATTCAATTATTAAAAATCATAAAATGCTATACTTCCATAACTTGTCGAGGTGTATACTCTTTCTATAAAAAGTGTAGCTAAATGCTTAAAACTAGATTTTTGTGACAAATACCTCAAGAGATGATAAACTTAATTCATCCGAGAGTTATTGATAGGAAGAATTTGGCATTATTTTTTAAAAATGGTAGCAAACATTTGACATCATCTTTTTATTCCTATATTAAGAAAATAATTCTATACATTATGCACAAGTAATGACAAACATAAAGAAGACAACGAGTAAAACAAAAGTAAAATAATGCATATAATTCAAGATTTCAACTTTCATGGTTGTCTATATTCAATTTCAAGATACAAAGTATGAAAAAATGACAAGCAAGAATGAAGATGAATATAATGATGGCAACAATAACAATTCCCAAGCTTCAACCAATCAAGTTCTATAGATGGATGCTTCTAGGAATTTCATAGGCATAGAGATCTCAAAATAAAATGAAGACCGTTCCATGACACTATTGACTCTCCACTACTTGCAAATTTAAGCTTTCTCGACCCAATCCTTAGCACATCGATTTACCAACATTTGCGAGTTATTGCATTTTAGTTCTAAAGAAAAAAAAATCTTATTTCTAAATGAAATAACAATCACAAAAAATCAATGTAGTGAACAAATAAACTAAACCAACACCACTAACACTACACCTGCCATTGTTAAATAAATAACTTAGCAACTTGTTTTCAACAACCAATACAAGAATTTTGGTTACCATGACCACCCTCCACCGTAGCTATTCTTCAAACATTTGTGCTACATCCCCACCTTTAGCCATCTAGCTAGTATGGTTATTTTATATTCTTTTTTTTTTTTTTTTTTTTGAGAACCTATCCTTGCTTCCTATTTAATACGACTCATATGAAAAATATCAAGTGGAACTTTGCAAGAATCTCTTAGTTATTTCGATGAAACGGAATGTTAAGGGAAAAATGTCTTAACTATTCACTGTAATTTGTACTTGTAAAAATCTATCCAGCCATTCTAACATACCATTTTGACATACCAAATCCAACAATAGACAATAAAATACACTTATTTACATAGTAATGTTTAAATTATATCATATAGTTTATTAGGTAGCAATTACATAGTTAATTTCAATTCTAAAAATGCAATACATAAATTCGAAGTTTTAGGTGTTTAATTATAAAAAAATCAATCGAGTCAACCCACTTTAAATTTTTTTAC